TTTTTAATTGAATTCTACCATCAATAAAGTAATTACTTGTTTTTAAATTAATATTATATTTTTATATTTATTTTGATTTAATAGGATATTTTATTTTAAAATAAATATAAAATAATTTATTTATTAAAACATGGTTAAAAAAATAATGATTATATTGTAAAATATTAAGTGATGTTTGTATATTCATCACATAATGAGGTATGAATGCATGACCTTACTTGGGGAGAATGAGGTGTGAATGCATGACCTTACTTTTTCGGCGAGCAAAGAGCCATGAGCCATCTTAATCATTGGCAGCCATACGTTAACCACATAATCTGTTTTTTTGCCAACAACGTTAGTCACGTATTTGAAAGTGCGGCAAGACTTTTTAAGGAATCAAATGGCAATTAGTTGGTTATCATGACTACATGTTGAAAACAAATAATAATTAAAGCTCTTTAATGTTTTTCGTAGCAAAACAAAGTTCATTAATTTGCACAATAACTATTAATTATTCTTCATATATAATTAAATGAGTAAATATTTAATTTGTTAGTTTGTAATTTTAAAAAAATGGAAAATGAAAAGAGAGATATATGATTACGTGAACATGCTAAATTCTGTTATCAGGCCCAGTTAAAAATATTTTGCCAATTTTTTTCTTATTCACGAATGCTCGAATCCAAGATCAATCTTGTGGTTATCAATTATTATAGTTCTTTATTTCAAGTCGAAGACCTATTAGTTATGATTTATGATTATATGAAATGTTATTCCTCATTAAAGACCATTTATGAACTTAGGGCCTGTTTATTTAAAATTAAAAAATAAGTGATTTTGAGATAATTTAGAGATTTTATAAAAAACGAACATTACTTTATATTTGATTATGATAATAAAAAAGTAATTATCAATTATTTATTTTTAAATTTTATGATATCTTCTTGGTTTTGTTTTATAAAAATAATTTTTATTATTATATTATTTTAAAATTTTATGATATATTTGTATATTTTGTCCTTTTAAGGCACTCCTTCATTTACCACATTAAATTATTTTTAAAAGTTATTTAAAGTAACTTTTTAAAAAATTAAAAATATGCCTTTTTTTTAGATTCTGATTATTTAAAAAGTTTAAACAAACATTATAAAAACTCATAAAATAAATTTTTTAAAGAAAATAAGTGTTTTTTTTTTTCATGAAATAGGCTAAAAGAAACAGGCCCTTAATCCACACACTCGCGATAGATCTTCAAGTTAGAGACATGTTATATTGATCTTCCAGTAAGGATCAACATTTTCCCCTTCTTACTTAAAAAGTTTCTTCATAGCTTTCTTTAAGATGGGAGTGAATGTGCTATGAGAAGCTCTTTTATGGATGTGTGAAATACATAGATGCATTTTCCAAGATCACCTGTTAAGCTATTGCATTTTTTGCCTCATGTAATTATTTTTAAAAATTACAATATTATTTTTTATTATTAATTTTTAAATTATATTATCTTTCACCCCTGACTTAAAGAATTGGTTTCGCCACTATATATATTGATGCCATCCACTTGTTCACTAGAAGCCTCCTCCATACAAAATGAGATCATCAATAAATAAAAGATTTGATATCAGCAAATTAAACTAAAAATTATTTTACATTTGTTGTTACCATAAAAACTTCCTTTCTACTATGTAGATGCTTTGGGGAATAAGATTTCTTGAAGCACATTGAATTTGCCGATAATGTAAGCGGCTTCAGATATGGATTTAACTCAAGAACAAATATGGATAATCTTTGGAGACACAAAGAATGATCACGTGGATGATGAAAGCAGAGAGCAAATGATATCATAGAGATTAGATTGCCATATTCCAGATTTTATAATCCTTTTCCAATCTTCTATCTCATCTATGATGAAGAATTATTTTTAAGAAAATTACTCAAAGTATTTTCTTATTCTTAAAATTTTCTTTCTCAAGGTATTTTGAAAGAGAGGGCTTATATCATTTTATCTCCATTTTAATTTTTAAAAATTATTTTGCAAATCACTTTCTTTTTAAAAAAAAAGAAAAGAAAAGAAAATTTATTTGATTCAGTTTATTTAAAAATAATTTTAAATTTAAAAAATGGTTGACCATGGTAATTACAAGTGGTTAATCATGATGGTCTATGGTGGTATTTGGCTACGCCTAACCATAGTTGCTAGTTAAGGTGGCTAACAATAATCAATGATAATGATTGGCTAATGGTGGCGGCTTTGATTGACAACAACAATGATCAATGATAGTTGGCAGTAGCTAATGATGGTTAATTGGTGGTGACTAATAATAGTTAACTACTGGTGATGAAATATGGCAACAGTCAATGGTGATGATTGATAGCAATGATCAATGATAGCTATTAATGGAGATTCGTAGTGATTGCTAGTGACGATTGGTGATAGAAATCGATGCTAATGGGCAGCGACAAGTAACAACAATGAAAGGCTGGTGGTGGTGGCTTCTCGTAATTAAATGTAATGTGTTTTTAAGTATTTTTATTTTCTTATTTAAAAAATAAGAACAATTTTAAAAATATTTAAATTCAAAAAATTACCTTACAAGTTTTTTTCTTTTGTGTTAAAGTTTGAAAGCAATTCTAAAGACAGAAGTCCAACATGCCCATAATTTTTTTCCACATTTAGATTATTTTAAACAGCTTAAATAAACATTTCAAAATAAAAGTGCTTTTTTCTTTTAAAAAAAAACTCAAACAAATACCCCAAAATATACAAGTTGACATATTTATCTAATCTTATATATAAGCTATTTTTAACTATCTCATCAGAATTAAAAAGAGGTAATTAATTATTGATGTATGAATTTTTTTTAATTTATTTTTATTAAATGCATCATTTTTTAAAAAATATTTTTTAAAAAAAAATTAAAGATTGGTAGTTCATATGTAACCCCTCCTGTGCAGGACGGATCAGTTAAGGACAAATCGAGTTAAGGGCTGAATTGTCATGGTTGTTGGTACCCACAGTATAAAAGCGGGAAAAAAATCCTATCGGCAGTCCAAATGTGCACATTTTTCATACTTCTGTCTTTGAATTGTATAAATCTTTTATACGTCAATATGAGACATCATGTCGCATAGTACGGTTTTTCTATAGCCTTCTACTAAGAAAAAAAAATAGGGTAAAAAAAAAAATCCTATATCCCACTCACATATGCGCACGTGCACACATGCACGTGCATAAATATATACACATGATACCTTGTTTTGTTAGTATATGAAATAGGTACTCCTTCCTGTTTATAATTTTCATAATATAGGATATTAGAAGAATTTCAGTTAAAGATCACAGTAAAAACTTAATTATTGATGGGTTCAAAAAAATTTTAAAATCTTAGTTTAATTTAAGAGAGAAAAGTTAAAAAAATTTCAACAATGAAGAGACCAAAATATCTTTATTTATTATGCAAAATTACTAGTTAATTTTTTTACTTCACTTATTAGTTTACTAATATGAGTTGCAAATTATATGAGTTGCCATATCAATAATTATATAAAATTTAACATCAATTGTTCAATCATAAACAACAATATCAATTGTTAAATTTCTAACTTTAGTTGTTAATTTATTAACATCAGTTGTAAATTACTGACAAATTTTATAATTTACTAAAATTAATTATAAATTACTAATAGGTCTTATAATTTATAATTGATATTAGTAAATTAATAAGTAAAATTAGTAAATTAACAACTGATGTTACTGATTGTCTAACAAGCATATGTAATTTACAATTAATTGGCAAATTAACAAATATAGTAAAAAAATTAATAACTAATAATTTTGCATAATAAGTGAAAGGTGTTTTGGTCTTTTTATCATTGGAATAGTTTGACTTTTCTTTCTGGATTAAACTGAAATTTTCAAAAAAAAATATTTAAACCCACCTAAAATTAAATCTCTACAATAATTCTTAACAAAAATTCTCCCAATATTTTCTAGAAGTCATACTTGGCCTAAAACGTAAGGCATTGGGTAGTTTTTATAATTTTTTCAATTATACTCTTATTTTATTTATTATTTCTTTTGAAAAAATGGTTTACTAGATTTTCAATTTTAACTATTGAAATGCTTATATAGGACTTCTAATGAGGTACAATTGAAAATATATATATATTTTTAAAATACTAAGATTTTAACTAATTTTTAAAACTAATATATTAAATATATGATTTTTCTTCAAATTTTTCTAATTGTTTATAGCTACGGATAATTATTATCTAATGATTTTTAGATTATAAGATTATTTTTTAAAATTAAAAAATAAATCACCAAATATTATTTTTATAAATCTTGCCCCCCTCCATGTCAATCCTGCTTCACCCCCCCCCCCCCTTCCAGTTTAGAATGTAGAGCATTTTATAGATGTTTTATGTTTGTCTACCCTCTCCTCAAAATTTATCTTCCAAGTTTCTCCTGTGGGGCAGAGAGTCCCTCTCAAACTCAATTTACTCAGAATAAGATATGCTTGTAATATAATTTTTCTAAAGTCTTCTCAATAATTGAATTTTTAAGAGCATGGCATAACGCACACTTTAAAGTTTCATCCCACAATTATTTTTTTATAAAAAAAAAATTTTAAGACCTAACTATTATTAACAATCATAAGATAATTTACAAGTTTATTGAAAATTTTAAGTGGTAAAAATAAATAATTATAATATAATGACATCTTTTACTGTAGAAGAAGAAAATCTTCAGTGTGAAAAGGAGGGGAAGAAGAAGAAAAGCTTTTACAAGATATTTTATAATTAGGAACCGAGGCCCTCAATCTGAACATGTGGATTTTTATGTCGGCGTTAATTTGTTCTAGTGACAAGTTGTGCATCCACGTGGAGGTGTATCTATTTTTATTTTTTATTTTTGCTTTTTAATTTTGGGAGAGGGGAGTCAAAAAAGTTCAGCGTCTCAGTATTTATTCCTGGCCTTTCGAGGCTTCAAGTCTGTTTCACTCCTAGTGACCACTGGTGGTTGTTCAAGTGATTCATACGATTCATCCTCACCACCATCTCTTTTGAAAAATTCAAACTGTATTCTTTAGAATCAAAGCTTGATCAGGTCGTTTTCATAGCTGCTTCCCCGTTGCATCCTCATGTTTTACTGAGAAAAATAATGGGTTCCTTCCATTTGTTTATAACCCATCATAAATCTGGAAAGTCGCTACCCTTACAGAGTTCGAAAAATTCGAAAAACATAAATAAAAAGGATAGTCAATTTTTTTGCCAATATATTAATACTAGTTCCTTCTTTCCTCGCTGTCAACCGTGCGGATGCATTTCTCATTTCTGCAATTGTGTCTTCTTCACAAAGCTCGTATTTTTCACTAAAATGGTTCTACTTGATTTCTAAAAGCATCTTTCATGGATCTGGACCGTGGGATTCGTGAAAAATCTGCTGAGGTAAGTTGGGCATTCTCGTCTGTGCCCCAAGTTTCAATCTCTTTGTGTTTTGAGGATTGAGATTTCATATTTAATTAGAATCATTTCGGTGTTCAATCCTAATGTTGGTTTTTTGTTTCCCCATTGCAGAACCTACCATGGAAGACGGTTCTGACTCTTGCGTATCAGAGCCTTGGAGTTGTCTATGGAGATTTAAGCATTTCACCACTATACGTATACAGAAGCACATTTGCTGAAGATATCACGCTCACAGAGAACAACGAAGAGATTTATGGTGTTTTCTCTTTGGTTTTCTGGGCTCTTACATTGATTCCTTTAATCAAATACGTGTTTATCGTGCTCAAAGCTGATGATAATGGAGAAGGAGGCACATTTGCTCTGTACTCGTTGCTGTGTCGCCATGCGCGAGTCAGCTCGCTGCACAATCGACAATTGGCAGACGAAGAGCTACCAGGGTACAAGAAGGGATATTATGATGCAACACCAGAGAGAAGCTTTGCCTCGAGGATGAAGATGGCGTTGGAGAAGCATAAGGTTTTGCAGAAGATTTTGCTGGTTCTGGCTTTGATTGGGACTAGCATGGTGATTGGTGATGGGGTTCTTACACCATCTCTTTCTGGTGATTATGATTTATGACTCAACTTTTTACGTGTTTTAGTCTGATCTTGAGACTTTTTGGGATCATTTAGTCATTGGTTGATTGAATTAATGCAGTTTTCTCTGCTGTGTCTGGTGTTGAGCTTTCAATGTCCAAGGAGCATCACCGATGTAAGTTCACTAATATACTTAGTCTTTTGCTAGAAAATCCCATTTTGGTCATCCAAACATGCCCCACTTGATCAATTGCCTCCATTGAAGATTTCAGTATCATCATCTTGAGACTGAAAAGTATAATTTTGTCCCAATTTATCCTTTGAGGGACACTAGAGGATTGCGTTGAAATAAAACAAACTTGGAGGCACTAAAGTGATACAGAAAATGTGAGTCAAAGTGAACCATGTGATATTAGGGTCTTCTTTGAAGGACCAAAGTTGGGCTTCTAACTTCTGTATATTTTGAGACATTTGCCATGGCATCTCTCTTTGTTTTCATCTGCACTTGTAATATTGTCGTTCTCATTTATCTGAGACTCGTGTTGTGGCACATTTCCCTTGTCGAACTCACCTGAGAACTTGTCGCCTGACAGGTGTAGAAATTCCGGCTACGTGCATCATATTGATAGGCTTGTTTGCGCTTCAACATTATGGCACTCACAGGGTTGGCTTCTTGTTTGCTCCAATAATTATCACATGGCTTTTCTGCATCAGTACTATTGGTGTCTACAATATATTTTACTGGAATCCTCAAGTATATAAAGCAATCTCTCCATATTATGTTTACCGATATTTAAGGAAAGCTCAGGGAGAAAAATTGGTGTCCCTTGGTGGAATTTTGTTGTGCATAACAGGTTTGTGTGTTTAGTTCTTGGCTACCTCTGATTTTATGCCGATAATCACATGGTCTTTTAATGCATGTTTTCAATTTCACAGGATCTGAAGCCATGTTTGCTGATCTCGGCCACTTTTCACAATTATCAATCAAGGTACTTTTTATTAAAATGATTGAATTCAGTTTAAATAAGATGAGCAAATCAACCTCCTAATAAATACAAATAAATGTTATCCAAAAAAAAAAAATACAAATACAATATAGTATACTGCTTGAAATTTCACTCCAAAAGTTGCAATTAATTTGACCTAATGTGGTAACGACTCTGTTGTTTACATTACTGTGATGCAGTTTAATGTTCTTTGTGAAGTGATTCAGTTTGATATTCTCTCTCTGCATATTTGTGCAATTTGTTCTAATTTCAGGGCTCTTGGGACCTTTGAAAGTTTTATACGCTATATATATATATATATATTATATAGTCCTTAAAAATTGCAATTTTTGTTCAAGATGATTACTGGTCTTATAGTCATCATAGTCATCAGATGTTGGTGATTTTATCTTTGGGTGGGTACATCTTTTGAGTTAGAATGTCTGCAAAGTTGCCACCATTCCTTAGTCCACAAACATGTCAGACTCTGAAAGATAGTGTCATGTTGCCGATATAGCGGAAAGAAAGGAAAAGGACAGTGGATCCTCTCAATACTTTCTTTTTGTAACCCACTTCTCTCTCCATACACAGCCTCCTTCATTGATTTAATTGTCTATGTAATTTAACAGTGGAAGATTGTTGGTTGTGGCATTAAACAAAATATATTATTCATCTAGTAACTGTCATAAAGAAACAATGTAATCTTGTCTTCAAAAGCATTCATGTGATAAGAATAAATGAAAGCCGTTTAATTAAATGGGCAATCAAATGAATTGTGAAGATTGTGTGTGGAGAGAGATACGGAGAGAAAGTATTGAGAGGATCCATTTTTGTATTCAACTGTAAATTGATGAAGTATATAGGAATTAGTGAATGTAGCATGATGAATCTCTTTATAATAGCCCGAGTAGGAATTAAAAGGTCATATTCATGGTGAATTAAAAGGTCATATTCATGGTTTATTAAATTTATGTGTGAAAAATCAATTGCTATGCCTAAATGTTAATGGCTAGAAATCCTTTTGCATATAGATGGATGGATGGCCATTGACAAAGCTAAGGTCCTGTAGAGATTCTCTGTTTTTGCAGATTTTTTTTTTTTAACTTAATTTCATTTCTGTTCCTGAACTGTTCTCCATTATGCAGTAGTTTTCCTAGACACGGTTAGAAAACACGTATTCCTTGAATAAGTTGCCACATTCTATTTCTTTTCGTTACGTAGTTTTGGAAATTTCCTGTTTATCTTATGATGATTTGTTCTGCAGCTTGCATTCACCTCTGTGGTTTATCCATCTATAGTTCTTGCTTATATGGGGCATGCTGCTTATCTATCTAAACATCACAACATCATCTACAACTATCACTTTGGGTTTTATGCATCTGTACCGGGTAGGTGGACTATTATGTTCTTCGTCAAGGAGAGGGTTAGTAAAATTGATAAACATGTTCTTAAATAACTGACATTCTTCTTCACTTTCATATCCTGCAGATAAGCTGAGATGGCCTGTCCTGGTAATAGCCATTCTTGCTGCAGTTGTGGGAAGCCAAGCTATCATCACTGCTACTTTCTCAATTATCAAGCAATGCATGGCGTTAAGCTGCTTCCCGAGAGTGAAAGTGGTCCATACATCATCCACAATTCACGGCCAAATATATATCCCCGAGATCAACTGGATATTGATGCTCTTGTGCTTGGCTGTAACCATTGGTTTCAGAGACACCAAGCACTTGGGTAATGCATCAGGTATATGACAAATCATTTCATGTTTCCTATTCATTGAAGACCATTTCATTGTTGAGTGAAGGTTCATGAACAGTTTTATTATAATCTTTCACATTCTTCCTCATGCAAAAGCCTGTCCAGCAGTGAAGCTTCACTTCTGATCTCTTCACCATAGAAACTCTGATTCCTTGTTAAGGATTGTTTTAAGTCAAGCTCAAGTTGTTGAGGGAAGGCTTATAAATAGTTTTATTATCTCTAACTATTGTCAATACAACAGCAATATGATATGAAGTAGCTAAGTAAAAAACTAGAAGGTGCATTTTTTTACGAGTTTTAGTCAGTGATTTGGGGGAAATGATGTTGTCTGGTGCTTACATCCTTACTTTCTGAAAGTGAATGACTTTATAAACTTAAAGTATATGGATTTTTCATTGGGATTGTAGGTGAGGTGGGTTCTATAAGTATTAATATCTGTTTGTTCTGGCGAGAAACTGACGTGCCGTGTTTTGTGAAACAGGTTTGGCAGTTATAACAGTTATGCTGGTCACCACTATTTTGATGTCACTGGTTATAGCAGTGTGCTGGAAGCAGAGATTTTTCCTTGCTCTTGGTTTTGTTGCTATATTTGGCACCATTGAGGCTGTCTTCTTCTCAGCTTCTCTTATCAAGTTCCTTGAGGGAGCATGGGTTTCAATTGCTTTGGCCTTTGCATTTTTCAGTGTCATGTATATCTGGCACTATGGCACTCTCAAGAAGTATGAATATGATGTCCAAAACAAGGTCTCCATCAACTGGCTACTCAGCCTAAGTCCCAACATAGGCATTGTCCGGGTGCGAGGGATCGGGCTAATTCAGACCGATCTTGTTTCTGGAATCCCGGCAATCTTCTCCCACTTTGTAACCAACCTTCCGGCGTTCCACCAAGTCCTAGTCTTTCTCTGCATCAAACACGTGCCAGTTCCTCACGTCTCACCTAAGGAACGGTTCCTCGTAGGCCGAGTAGGGCCAAGAGAGTTCAGACTCTACCGGTGCACAGTGCGCTATGGCTATTGCGATGTCCCCAGAGATGACATGGAGTTTGAGAAAGATCTTGTGTGCAGCATAGAAGAGTTCATTGGCACAGGAAACGATAGTACCGAGCTCAATGCTTCTTCTTCTTCAAGCAAGGAGCTCGAACAAAATCAGGACATGGCAGTTGCAGGGACATGTTCCACACATACCATAACAATGAACGAGGACACTAAGAATCCGAACAACATAGACTCAGCTGAGACGTCAGAGATCCAACCCAAGAAGAGGGTGAGGTTTGTAGTGCCGGAGGAGAGTCCGAGGATTGACAATGGCGGTAGAGAAGAAGAACTAGAAGAGCTTATGGAAGCAAGGGAAGCTGGGGTAGTTTACATTACAGGGCAATCTTATATGAGAGCTAAAGCAGGGTCTAGCTTGCTGAAGAAGTTAGTGATCAATGTTGGGTATGAATTCTTGAGGAAGAACACTAGGGCACCAGCTTATGTCCCTGACATGCCTCATGCATCATCTTTGGAAGTTGGGATGGTGTACCGAGTTTGAAATTTTGGTTTCACAAGAAATATAGTTTGTTGTATAGGTTAGATGATAAGTTATGAATACACACACCACTCGTGGTAGATATGAATACAAATTTTGTTCTTTTTACTTCAACTCGATTGGAAAATTGATTTTTCTTTGTTCTCTCTCCTTTTTCTTGGCTAGGATAGTGGGAAATAAATAATATCATGGAGAATTGCATTTAAGGATCATTTAAGTAAATTATTTACATATAAGGATCAACACGAAATGGATTATTATTAAAAGGAAAATGTGATTTTTTCTCCCTTGAATGGGACTTGTTAGTCTTTATTTGTGAGTAATTTTCTTGAGTAGTCATTAGATGTGATTCTCCCTAAATAAAAAATATATATTATTGTGCCTTAGGATATGTTATGTTAAAAGAATAGAAGTAATTCTTTAGGTGTTGTGATAAAGTTATAATGGTGAGGGAGAATTTTAAGAGTTATTATTGTCTGGTCATGAAATGAAGCTCGTGGTACCCCCAAAATAGTTTGTATTATTAACGAGGATGGAGATTATTTAAAAAAAAAACCATTGGGCATTGTTTGATTTAATTTATTGAGCTTTCTGAGAGTATTCTTTCTAAGAAGCTAACTTTTCAGAAAATTTAAAAAATGATTGCGTATTTTATTTTTTAAATTGTTGAAAAATCTAATTATAACAAAATATTTTAAGTTTATGGATGATTTATCTTTATCTTTTTTAATGTTTCAAAGCTGTAAATGGTGGACTTATTTTGAAACTCATAAATGTGTATAATGAATTCTTTTTATATACAAAAAAGTTTAAGTGAGTTAGGTCTTAAAGTCTTACTAAGGCTAATTGACTAAAACATGCATCTAAGTTTAAAGAGTACTTACAGATTGTCTACTAACAAGATCCCTTACATTGAAAGCAGAATTTGGCTCATAACTCACCCTTATAGGCCAGATTATTATCAATTGAATTAATCTTTATTAATAATGTGTATAATGAATTTATGTTCTATTGAATTTAAAATTTTATTCTTAGCTCTCGCGCGCGACACTATATAATATATATATATATAAGAAAGAGTTAAAAAAAAAAAAAAACAAAAGCCTGGCATGATACGAAGAAACTGAAGAAAGGAAACCTTAGCCTCAGAAAAAGAAAGTTGGGCCCATGCTTAACAATGCTAAGCCCATCTACCAAAAAAACGGTTGAGCCGAAATGGTACTTTTTAAAAATAAAGGCGAAAAACACAGCCAAGATTGTGATTTCCACAAAGACGAGTGCTGCACCAATAAAGTATTCATACAAAAAAAAGAAAGAAAGAAAAAGAACAAGTTAAGGCCTCTTCACAAATTCAAAGAAAAGAGAGGGTTTTGGACATTAGACGAAGAGATTTTTGGAATATATAGATATATATAATTACATCCGTAAAATGTTTTATAAATGATATAATAAATTTTTTATTCATAAAACTAATAAAGTATCGTGGATCATATAATAGTTTTTTTAAAAAAAATAAACGACATCCATCATTTATGATGGATTTTTACATGAAAATATGTTCCAGATAAATAGCTTGTAATACACACATTTTCCATATTATTCTCTACATAGTGAGGATGTTTAACTATCATCAATAATATTAATTATTCCATCTACTAAAAAATAGAAGGTATTTTTTGTAGGGTTAGATATTAAAAAATGTAAATATTTTTAATGTTTTAAGGTATAATTAATGTATTTTTTAAATTCCCTCAATAAATAATTTAATTTATATTTATATTTAAATAATATGTTATATTAAATAAGGGTAAATATAAAAATATGTATTAATTTAAAAATAATTAACTAATTTATAAAGGTAAAATTCAATTTAAAAAACCTTACATTTTTGGGGGGGAGTATGCACAAGTAGAATATAACTGATTTCTTGTATAAAAAAAATGTTGATTTTGTGTCGAGGAACATTGAAGGTTTAAAGGCTAAATGATCATGCTATGTGTATTTGTGTGGAATTCCTTGAAATGATGTTATGTCTTCATACTTTTATAGATATGTGATATTACTTTAATTTTAATACTTTAGCATGGTTATTGATGGCAATAGAAATTAAATGTACTATATTGATTACTGAGATTTTTATCTCACTCTGGTTATTTATATTTTTTAGGTTCTAGTGTTAGTGGGTCAAATGAAAAGGAATAGACTGAGTTGGCATCTCTCGCCTAAGTCTTTGTAAGAATTGATGTAATGATTTTATAGATTGATAGCTAAGAATGTGTCTAAGTTGTCATAGGATCAATGTATGTGCATAAAGCTATATTTGTGGTATGTTTGATAATTTTGGGTACCTTAGCCCTTGTATATTTGTAAATAAATGATGAAATGACTGGATAGGCTAGTGGAAGAATGTAACTGTGTGTAGATATGAGATGTTTGAAAAGTATAAGTGATGATTTGGCCATATATGAGATAAAGAAGTGAAAAAATGATTTTTGCCCAAAAGAGTGAAATAGGCAATTTACAGGCCAAATGTGTATATGTGTGTTATATTGTGCATGTATATGGTCAATCAAGTGTGTATGGTCTATTTGGACGTGGTCAATACTCAAAAGTTGCTAATGACTTTTGGTTTTAATTGAGACACTTAAGTGATAAATTTTTGGCAAGAAATGGTCAAAATGCACTTGGGTGTATAGTTTTTGATAAAAATATCAGATTGGATAAAACTAGTATCATTAGTTAGATTTCAAAACAAGCTATGTGTGGGTGCTTGAAAAATCCTAATCTAACATTAGATGTAGGAATGATGCACATATGAATTTTATATCAGAAACTACCTACTGACAGCAATTTCAGCTATATATTGCGGCACATATACTAGCAAGCCGCAAGCCGCAATGCACAGCACAAAGCAAGCAATTGTGGCCTCTGTGCCACATGTCGAAATGCATGTGGCACGAGTCGCAGTACACGGTGCCAAATTTTTACTTTGTTTTCAAATTTGCACGTTTTTCTTAGTATTCAATACTCATATACTTATTGCTTCCGCTGTGTTTGGGGTTGTATAACCTGAGATTTATAAAATGATTTTTGAAAATTTTTATTTAAGATCCCAAGATTTTCAAATTAAATGGTTTTTAATTGATTATAGTAGAGTGCATGGTAATATTAGTAGGGCATTACATTTTCCTCTCTAAACCATTTTCTAGAGGAGCAAAAAATATCCCTCCATTAATGCCATTAATAGAAGGGAATTTTTACTCGTTTGAAAATAGTTGAGGGGAAAAATTGCTTCACTTATTAATGTAAGGTACCCAGTACTTCTCAAAGAAAAGTATAGGGACAAAAATATACTTTAACCTAAAATTATTTTCTTTTTACCTTATATATTAAAGTGAAGGGAGTAATTTATAAGCAATGAGAAGTTGAAAACTAGACATTTTGTTTTTTATATGGCTCTTGATTGAATTAATTTGAGTATTATCAAGCTTAATTGAAAATAGCTCTCCACATTTTCTATTTTTTTAATTCAAAATTTTTTTGGGCAACTAATTTATGCATTCCATTGATATAATCCCACATAATTAGGATTTCTCAGGACCTGATAATGTGATGTCTTAAGATGTAATACATAGACTCATAGCTATATTACCATCACACCAAGATCATAAGGATGATGTCATGACTTGGAGTGTAGCTCTATCTAATTTTCAATTTTTCCCCAACATACTTGCATAGCTATAAATCATAAAATAATTCCTTGGCAAATTTAAACATCATTCAAGGAGTTATACTTATTGATATGATACTCTTTATTATACCTCTAGAAATCAAACTCTAAATAATGTTTAAAGGCTCCAATTGCTATCATTCATGTAACATCCACTTTGTAGCTCTAATGGTTAACTTACCATTAAAAGTGCTTAATTGTTGCTAGAACAAAGCCCACATTATTGATACAGCCCTATTTTAAAAATGACAATAAGGACCTCGCCAAAAAAATTATGTTAAGATCTTTTTACAAATAAATTTTATAAATTCAATACTTCTTCTCTCATGTTTAAGTATTAAAATTATTTTAAAAAAATTGATTTGGTATTAATCTTTTTGTGAGATCCTCACTTATCATTCATCCTTACTTATAAGGCTGTATGGAAATGGAGAGATGCTAAGAGGATTAGATTTTTTATTCAGTTGATCCTCTAACATAAATTTCCTACAAATTTATGGAGGTCAAAATGGGCTAACTATTTAGTTTCATACATGTGACTGGTGCCAACTAAGTATGAAGACACATTATATATATTGAGGGGTTGTACCTATATATATGCTATACAGATATAGGGGTTAATCTTACAAACCCAAGCTATCTCTCTAAATTCTTTTCCACTACGCTCTTTGAATCTCAAAAGAAATGAATAAGGTACATTTTTATCCCTAAACTTTTTCTCGAGGGGCAATTTAACCCTTGTACTCATAAGTGGAGCAATTTTATTCTTGAACTATTTTTTTTAGTGAAAAAAAAACCCTTCTGCAAGGTGCATAGTGTTCTAAAAAAAACAATCAAAGGTAAAATTGCTCTAGTTATGAATATAGGAAAATTACTCGTCAAGGAAAAAAAGTAAAAATGTACCTTAAAACCACAATAAATATGGGCTTTCAACCAAGTAAATATTAGGATTTAATGTAGGAAGTCTCAATTTGGAATCTTTGGCTATGGAGAAATGAATTTATTTTCAACAATGGTTTTCGTAAATTAATTTACTTGAGAACATTAGGCATTCTCAACTTACACCTGATGTGATTTTTCTCTTTAATATTTGAAAATAGTATTTTGAAGGTATTATAATTAAAAAATTAAGTTAACTTTAACTGTTAGTTGATTTGAAATTTATAAAAATAACTTAAAAAATTATTGAAAAAAGACCTGCAAAATCACATATAAGTACCCTATAAGAAATTAATGTTGGTATTAATTTTTTGTAGGATACTTATTTGTAATTTTTTTAAGTAATTTTTGAAGCCTTTTCCTTTGATTTTATGATTAACTAACAATCACAGTTAATGGCAAGATGTTCAATACACCATTTTTAGTTCTTGAAGGGGAAATTGCA